TGTACATTAGCATTTCGAGCAAGTTAGCCGTGCACAAATGCAATTTAGACACGGCAGATATTCCGCCGGTCGCGCCGGCGACCGACGCGAGCCGCGCGCTCCCGTCATGTTGAAGACACTCCGGGTCTAAAGCGAAAGTCGAACGCGATCTCTTTCGTTCCCGGCCTCTCCTCACCTTCGCCCGACCTCCCTCGATCCTTCTTCGCATGCACGCAGGCCCGTTTGCTGTCTTCGCTTATCCGTTTTCCGGAATATCTCCGATACCGTCTCTCTTCGCTATCTCCCTCTCTCCTCCTCTCTCTCTCCCCGTCTGTCTCCCTCTCATGTAATGACAGACCGTCTCCGCCTGGTACGAACTAATCGGTACTCGTTATATAAAGCGACGACCGCGCGACACTGTGTCAAGAACTTCTCGTTTCGCAGGCGGAGTGGAGTAAGTTCAAAATGTCATTGATTCTGACATAAGAAGGGGACAAGGAGAGCAGGTCATTTTTCGGATTTAAAGAGGGACGGGGAATGTTTTCGCAACGATACTAAAAAACCCTAGTTGTTTGCACTCTAATGAATAATGCAGTGAGTTTATATTACAATAAAAAGGATACGTTGTCCGCTGTAATATTTGATAACCTGTTTTCAAAATGTGCAAGAGAGACGAAATTAAAAATTTAAAACATTGCAATATTATTCTGAAAAAAATTTCAGTTTCGAATGAATTTATATAATAACATTTATTTATACAATCCACTCTGAAAATATAAGTGTCCCCCAGCCTCCGAGTTTGTGTTTAAGTGTAAAAAGTTCAAAGATCCATTTTCTCGCGGAAGCGAAGAAAATGGATCGTTGGACTTTTTACATTCTTCTTCGCAGACATGGAAGCGCCCGTCCCGCGCGAAGTCGCGCGTCCCTCATGAATATCTCGGAACGTGACACAAACCATTCGCACTTACCAAAACGTTCCATAATGTTTTAACATGGGCAACGTGCGTCGGGGCCGAACTGTTTATGATACAACGATGAGGAAATGACGAGTGTTTTATCGTTTCTTTGAATCGCAATGAGAGCTCGGCTGAAGATTATATTCAGACGAAATTTCACTACATTTTACTGCTTTGCTGATTTCGTCGGGTAAGAAATAGAAGTTTGTACCATGTCATGGTGAAATTTTTATTGTATTAGACTCGGTAATTACGAAAACAAAAATTAAACTTAAAAATATTAATGAATAAAGCCGTAAAATTGTCAGAAATGAAAAGTGTAAAAATCCTTGTGAAAATCGCTAACAGCGATAAAATAGCAAGATAAGAAAGCATTATAGCGCATTGTGATAAAATTCTCATCGCATTAGACGCTACGATAAAAAAAAAACTTCTTGCAGCTGCTGATAAAATTAATAACATCGACCATCGATATCTCCTCATTATTTACATTACGATTATCCGAGTGCATCGCGGATGTGATTTATCATAAAGGGAAACAATTTTTCCATATAAACTTGTTAACAATGCAAATGTTTATTAATACGAGGAATCGATAAATGTCTGTCGGTTTTATATTACCGTCGCGGCATTTCATATTACATTGTACCTAAAACCACCAACCGAAAAATAGTTTACAGCCCAACATTTTTCCACGGGCGAAAATTCTGCGGTAAGATACACCGAAGTGAGAAGTCGCTATCGGTATTTTCGTCCAATAACATCTCCGCGATATCCGGCGCCGGAACAATTATGGGAGAATGAGCAGCGCCGTCGCGAGATCTGTTGCGATATCCGTCTAGATCGGGCAGGCAAAGTAGCGAATTCCGGCCGCGAGATAATTTATAATTTCCGTTGCGATTTCCGCGCCGCGAAGGAACTTTGTTGCACAATCAAAAGTGCGCTGCTCCTTCGGCGCTCTTCGATCCCGCGATAAGTGTTCCTCCCGTTACGCACGTTGCGGAGAGACGGAACCAATCGATGACAACAATCGAATCGCAGTCGGACAGCAACGAAACGCGATCGCGAATCGAAGCGTAACGTCAGTAACAATGAGTGAAAGTTTCCCGGCTGGCCATCTCGACGAGAAAGCTAATGAGAAAACGTCGCTGTGTTTTGCAAGCTGAAATATCAGGTCGCGCGATAGGAATGAAAGCTGCAATTCGATTTGCCACGATATCAGCCGGAATTAAACAGAATTTGACGGTCCCGTTAACGTGAAACCTACACTTTTTTTTCTTTCGAGGAGAAAGAGAGAGAGAGAGAGAGACGTACCGGATAAAAGTTCGAAGAACACTAAGAGAGTAAGGTGGCCAAATTATTCGGATCCGAATGCGGATCAACAATCTGACGAGTCGCTAATAAGCGACATAAAAACACGATGCCTTTTACGATACCGACAATATATGCATAAATATATAAAAGAGCAAAATTTAAGTGAATTACTACATCATCAAATTGTTGATCCGCACTTGGTGTCTGATCGGAATTTGGTCACCTTACCCTAAATACGAGATTCCGCGAGCTAATTCGGACGGTAGACGCTCTCGAGGACCTTATTTTCGGGCCGAAGGTCGTGGCGTTGGTCGCCAGGCGATATTTCGCTGTGCGAAAATATCGCCGATCCGCCGTTTCGTGATGAAATAGACTCCGGAAAGGACACGCGGCGCGCGCCTCGTCATCCGGGTTCCAGTCGCGCTCGTCCACGAGGAACGGAGCTCGTCATCGTCGTCGTAACGTCACGTCGCGTCTATCAGCGGCGGCGGAGGCCGCGAGCGCGAGGTGGGGTATCACCACTCGACGGTTTCGACGTGAACATCCAGCTCGCCGCCGACTGGCTGGCTCAGTCAAGCTGAAACCGCGAAGGACCGCGATAGAGCGAGGCGAGCGAGCGAGCGAGCGGGCGCGCGCGTGCCTTACGGGCCTCTCGCGAGCGTTTCACCGTTTCTCCGACGCCGCTCGTTCGCCGCCGACCGCGGGAGGAAAAGGATTCCGCGTCCTACGTGCGCGCGGTGATCTGTCAAATCGGCCGCGCGAGTTACGAGACGACGCGGTGCGACGAGTGAAGCGGGGCCCTCCCGCGCGATAACGATGCCCCCGGGAGTGAGGACGGGCGAATTTTTCGCGTGGACCTGTGACGCGCGATAAGACGCGCGCGATACGCCGCGGCTCGAGCGGCGGCGGAATAACAACCGGGCGAGTTCTCCGCGATTCCGCCGCGGCCGCGACGATGCTCCCGTCGCGGTCCTTACGGCTAACCAGGCGTTACGATATCAGTGGAATAAACGAAAGTCGTGTGCGCCTTATCGGCAGTTAGCGTATCGGTGCGCCTTAAAAAGCGCGCTGAATCATCGCGCGGTTAAAATTGACGGTGCGCCGCGAGTGCGTCGTTTGTGCGAGGCCTCTGCGCAAGGTGCGCTGTGCGGAGTTGCACAACCGGGTACGATAACGGCGAGGAAGAAAAATCGGCCGCGCGGGGTCGACCGTGATCCCGATGTTTAAAGGTCGCCAAATCAACGAGGCGGAGATCAATCGAAGGGGCTATTAAGTAGCTCTGCTCTCCTCCTCGCGTTATACACGCGGAAAATCACGACGGTGGAGCAGCAGGCGACTCGCTTGTGTGTGTGTGTCTCCTCTCTCTCTCTCGCTCTTTCTCCCTCTCGGTCGGTCGCCGCGGCTCGCCACGGCTTTCACGACGGTATTTACACTCGACTGCATTCTGAAAATCGCACGCTGTCACTACGCGACGATAAAAAAGGGGAAAGAGTTTCGTTTAAAACGCCGATTAAGAACGCTAGATAAGAATGCCTAAGGCCGTGAGAACAGTATAAGTGGGGGAAGAATTTTATGCTCGTTTAAAATAACCTTCTGTTTAAAAACCAGCGATATGAGTCACGAACGATGATAAGAATATCAAAGTTATATGAGCGGGCGAATGAGAATATCATTGTAAAAAAAAGGATGAAGAATTTTTGTCATCCTTGGTTCGTTATTAAGTTTTATTTAAAATCTTTAGACGGTATAAAATAAATTTGTTACATACTTGTGCACTGAGCAGGGTTGATAAAATTCCACATTTTTTGTCCAAGCCAGTGGTAAAAACTGGTATTTTCCGGAAAAGAACGACAAAAACTGGTCTTCTCTAGTCAAAACGATAAGATAAGTAGAAAACTTTTAGAAAACACTATAAAAAAGTATTGTTTTCCGCATAAACTAAAAATTAATATAAATAAAAGTTAGTATCCCCGAAGTTCTTGTTTAAAAAATATATATTAATTTCAACAAAACAATTTTTTTAATTAAAAAACTTATATTGGTTTTTTAAAAATATTGATTAATACAATATAATTTAGTATTTAAAACAAACATCCTTTTTTTTCATAAAGACTATAAAAATGACCAATATTTATATAAATATATTTGAATTAGGTATTGTTATTTTTGTAATTTTTACAAATTTATTCCATTGGATAAAGTGCGGGACGGTATAAACTGGAATTTACCATGGTTTTCGCACTCCCTGGATTTTTCCAGTCAACCCTGGCATTGAGGAAATATTTATTCTAAAGTAAGCTCTTTAAAAATTAATTTGAAAGTAATATTTTCTCTCCCTTTTCAATAATATACGTGTACAGGTACATTTAAACATTTTTTATGTACAGAATCTGACGATTCTAAATGAGGTTTAATAACGATTTTAAAATGACGATAAAATAATACCAAGCAGGAAAAACAGAACATATCCTTAAGAATGGAATTTAAAATACGTTACGTGTATATAAGTGCATGAAATGTGTATTTTAAATTAAAACTGCAAGTATATTAAATCGAAAGGAATAAAATGTTCAAGAGCTTGGCTCTCGAATAGACATGTTAAAGATCCCACCTGCATTAAATATGTTAATAATATCGAGATTTTATTGATAAAATAAAGAATAATAATGAGCCGCGAATATCATATAACGATCTAGAAAAGACGATGGCCAATGGGGAAAGCCGTTTTCTCGATAAATAAAATACGGGATAAAGAGGTGAAAACACCGAGGCAATAATCTCGCAGGAATTCGCCCGCCTAGTCGGCGGTTCCGGCTTTTAAAATTATCGCAAATTCGTGGACGCGGCGAGACGAAAGCGTGCAAACGTAAAAAATGGCATAAGCTGTCGACAAAAGCCTCCGTCGCGGGGTGAAACACCCTGTATAGATTATACAGGGTGTTTCAGGAGGAAAGGTCAATATTCTGGGAGGTGATAGTAACGGTCATTTTAAGCAAAAATGTTTATATGAATATAATCCCATTCCCCACTGTTTCCGAGACAGAGCTACTCGAATGTCTCGTGTATTTGCCATTTTTCTGTACACTTCACCCTTCGTCCAACCCCGTAAACGTCTACGGGAATTTACTCTAATACGTCTGTTGACTGTTGCGCCGATAACATTGTAGAAATGTACAAAATGCCTCGCATATTCGCAAACGTCGAACGAGCAACACGCTGTGTTCACACAAGAGTTGAAAAATGCATTGTCGTTAACGGCGGAATTTTTGAAAATTTATTATGATCTGTAAAAAAGAAATGTATCGCTTGAGCAATAAATATTAGAAATAGTAAATTTTGCAACTGTACATTCAAACAGCTCTATCTCGGAAACGGCGGGGAACGGGACATATATTCATATGAACATGTTTGCTTAAAATGACCGATACTATCGCCTCCCAGAATATTGACCTTCCCTCCTGAAACACCCTGTATGCGGGTCGTCAATACAACGGCTACGATAATGATACGTATTAAATTCACGCCGTGTGCGTCACGATACGCGGCGCCTGTCGCCGACGTCGCACGCTCCGCCTCGGCATTGAAAGCAATTTGGGCAGTAACCCATTTGGGTGTGCGTGCGCGAGTGTGCGACACATTGCCCGTGCATGTACGTGACGTCTCTCGGCGGTTGTCCGTTTAAATCAATCGCGAGTGCATCGACATGCATGCGCGCGGCGCCGTCAGACAACGACACTGTTGCGCGTTAATGGAAAAGTGTCGGCGCGTTTTCATTATTGCACAGTACAATGTGCGTGGGAGAAATAATACGGAAATAGATACGGCTCAGCGTGGCGATAGGGAATCCCGATTCGAAATTAACAACCGGCTGCTTTTCGCGTGTCCGCCGCGAAGCGAGAGAACGCGCGGGCACGCGTAGAGTCGTGTACTCTGATTGGCGCAAAAAACAATCCGGCGGTTTAAATTTTCCTCGAGATTGTTCGACGGAGACTGATTTATTTTCTCGTGCGTTCAAACGCAATATTTTTTTCTATCTCTTAAGGAATTGCCGAGGGATAAACCGCCGACGGCATTTTGGTGTACAGATTTACGGCATTAGGGCCTGAGCAGAATGGCTGTCTTATATTCTTAAGTCACAAGACAGTTATTGTGCGTTACTTTAAGACAAAGATTTAAAATATAAAACACTGTCTTAAGAGTACAAGACAGCCATTCTGCTCCTTACTGGGCATTAGTTTGGGCATTAGGCCCTTGCTGGGACATAATAAAGATAAAGTAAGATAATAAGATAAAGTAATGCCCACTGGGCACTAGTAGGCGTTGGTGTACCTGATTTTGGTCAGTGGTTTACCCCTCGGGAATCACATTTGGTTTCCTTATCTCGTAAAGTGCGTGTAGAAAAAGGTAAAAGGATCGACGCACGATCGGAAACGTCGAAAGATTTTTAATGTCGAACGCGTTTCATACACGAATGTCCGCGTATCGAGTGACATTAATGGGACGTTAATGATAATCGTAAATGGGAGAATAACGTCGTCGAACGTTGCGTTAAATATTTCTCTTTGCCGCTATCATTATTCATCGTTTCGCATCGTCCTCCCTTCGAGCCCTTTATCGGGACACGTCTGCGCGACCGCGCTGTTGAAAACACTCCTGCGAGGTGTCTCTTCGGCGATCGTAATCGGAGAATTATGCATATGCGGCGCGGAGCTGACCTTCCTTCGCTCTGACGTCGCCGCGAGCGAGCGAGCGATTGTCTAATATATAATATAATAGCCGATTGACAATATCGCGTGCGCGCCGAGATGCATACGCGAGCTTAGAACACGATATCGGTTTCGAAGCTCCGGATACGTTCAGCATGTATGTGTGTGCGTGTGGGCGCGTGTATCATCCGTGAGGAACTGTTAGCGCGACGTACGAGCGCGATAACTATGTTAACAGCACTCTCTTGTGCACACACGCATCGAGCACGTGGGGCACGTAGCCGCGAATAGTATTGCCGGTACCGTTAATACCATTCGCGCGATATCTAGTCGCTCCAAGAGAGTTGCACACACGGGCGCGCGGAATCGCCGCGTGTGTGGGAGCGCGCGAGTGACGCCATTTCCCGACCTCCCCCGGGTCCCCCTGCCTTTTTCGCGTGAGAACAGAACTCGGATACAATGATATCGGGTAATCGAGCCCCGGCCGCGCTTTCGGCCACGCCGTCCTACGCAAGCGAGTTCACTAGCTCGAAAAAAAAAAATGCGGGAAACTCCTACGATCGGAGGTAGCGTGCGAGCTCCTAGAGCCGCGCACTCCTAGAGTCCCTCTGATCAGAGTCTGGCCAACAGGCCAGTTTCGGCAAAAAGATGCGAGAAAGAAATATATTCTCTCTCTCTCTCTCTCTCTCTCACTCTGCTTTTCGCCGAAACTGGCTTCTTGGCCAGACTCTAATCAGAAGTTTGATACAACCAAGTTACATGTTCAGTCAACAAAGTGATTCGATCAAATGATTTTGTTTCATTCAACAAAGTGTGTCTCTCAGTGTATAAAGTGGGAGGGAATATTTTTTTTCTATCTCGCATCATTTTGCCGAAACCGACCTGTTGGCCAGACTCTGACTAGAGGAACTCTACGCACTCGGTCTTCCACGGGACCTCACGCTTGACTTTCGACTGCTCGTCTCTGGTTTTTCTTTTTCGTGGTTTCTCGTTTCTTCCCCGGCTGAAATCTAAATATATATCCTTGCTCCTGTTCTACGCGAGGAAAGTGCAACTGAAACGCGGCCGATCGTACGCCCGGATAATCGAGAAATATCTGTTAAATGTACCGGGAATAATGTACGGGTGTAATCACGAAAAACGTATTTCGGTATTGACTCCCGTAAGCCGATCGTGTTAATCGAGTTAAACATTTAAATGGCGCACCTCGTTAAATTACGAGGCAACGTTTTGGCGGGCCTAAAAAATTCCCGGGGAGATATACCTCATAATTCAGAGGGACATTTTTAGCGGTCTTCAATCGCGAGGGAGAGCATTTTCAGAAATCGATAGCCCGTTCACCGAGCGTTTTATTATTCACTCGAACGTCTTGGCACGTTTTCCCGAGGGCGTCCGATCCGCACGTTCTCACCGGATTTCCAAGATAAATTTATCCTCCCGACGATACCAAATGAAAACCCGCGCGACCGTGCATTTCCTACGTTGCATTTTACGGACCGTTATCCAGCGCCGGACATTTTCGCCCGCGTTTAGTCAACCGAGAACTCACGCGCGCAAAGTGTACGCGTGCGCGGAAAAATAAAATCTGCCGACTACGCGGTCCGCGCGTACGAAGGGACGCGGGGCCAAGTTTTTCCGCCG